ATATGTCTTCATCTAATATTAAAAATGGATATATTAAAGCCTAATATTCCACTCAGAGCCAAGAGGACCATTATTATACTTTCACATAAACACACAGAGTCCCTCATATTCTATATGACTCTCATGTTACAACTGATACATTTCAACGGAATTATCAGAGAAGATCGAAGACATGTAAACTGTGGAGAATTCAAGATTATCGATAGTAAAGCGAATTGTGATGACGAACTTGATTTCATTATTTGGACATACGGTAGTCAACCCACAAATCACTGTCTAGTGTACTGGAAGTGTTGCCTCAACAGATGAAGTCTGCTCCACAGGAGTAACTACTTGCAGCAGCAAATGTTGCCAACTGTATTCTACACTTACGAGTTAGATTTCACAATCCCTTATTACGCCTCCTCAGACTACAGAGGAGGTAGCGTTGAAATTAAAACGATTCGCAAACTACTGTGTTATGAAGTAACAGAATCAAGACCGAATAATTTCTAATCTTCAGGTATGTACAAAAAGTCACTTCATTCACGAAATATTCAATGGAATTCACACTTTTCATTGGTGTATAATATTCAAAATTCACGATGTGGAGGTTATTTATTTCCTTCATATTTAAGGGCGATTCTTGACATCGGGGTAATATATCTACTGATCACATCAAACAGAACAAGAAAACGATTCCCCGTGAATTTCTTGTTGACGATGTTCCATGTGTGAAGTTGATGTATTTGTTGTTCATGCCTACATTTAATTATCTGTTTCGTCAGATTGTCATTATGTATTGTTTGTCTTCATGCATTGAGAATTGAAGGATAAATTACCACAGAGTATATCCTTGAATATCTTAATCATATTATGGTGTCTTCTTGAATTAGATCGTGATGGGACAGTTGAATCCTGGTCAATGATGAATTTAGTGGTCATCTACACAACTACTGAAGAATATCTCAGCAAGCATGAATCACTGTAATACTCATAGTGAAATATGGAACGTTAGTGAGACAAATGGCGTAGGGGAATAGTCGTGTAACATTCACAATGCAATATTATTTGATTTTATGTTGGTTGTCTAGACACACCTTCATTGCACAGTGACGCAGTGATACAGCGTGTGACTAAATTGATATGGTTATGAGGCATGATATCTCTTAGAAACATCATCTACTGGTTAATACTGTATCACTGTATGATATTTAAAGTGACGTTGTCTAATATGGAACCACATTCTACCACAGTGCTGAAGTTCTGCACTCACATTAATAGCCTCATCACATATGAGAATCATGTGAGATTTCAAGCGCTATTTCATACGATCGCATTACAAGAAACATGGCTTCATGATCTTTTTGATGACAACCTGGTTTCTATGAATAGTTTTACATGTTCAGACGAGATCTGCTATGCTCTAGAAAGAGAAGAGGTAAAGGTGTGGCAACTTTCATTCACTCTCAGTGATCGACTTTAAAAAGTGTATGTTTTTCTTTCTCTATTGACTTTATCGACTATATAGCAGTCAAATGTTGTCCGAATTACTTATTCAAGTTTAGATACGTCTTCATCTCAAACATTTATTTTACTCCTGGCTGTTCCGTCTCGGATCTATCTGATTTTGCCGATAAATTCACAGCATTCGTTGTTACACATCTCGAAAACTCTTTATCAGTTGTCACAGGAGATTTCAACACCTGTGATTGTTCTTTTCTTGAATCATTAGGTCATGTCAATATTGTCAAATTTACAACTCGACTTGATAAAACACTGGATCTACTATTTACTAATGATGCGGAAATATATGAAGCACGCAGACGTGCTCCTACAATGAACTCTGATCATTGTAATAATCGGATATTACCCAAGATATATAGCAGATATCCCTCTAATATCCTCTCATATCTCTCCAGGAAAACACAACAAAGATGTTGCTCACAAGAAAAACTAAGACGTATGTTAAATGACACAAACTGGAAACTTTTCACTGAACATACGCTGGAGGATGCTATTTCCAATCTGACTGACTCTCTTAAATTCTGCCTTGATATATGCTGTCCATAACAGATACTTTTCAAAAGAATGGACCGTTTCTCTTCCCCTCATCTGAAAAAGCTTCGAAGAGAAAAAGAGAGACTGTGCAAGACTAAGGATAAATTTGGTCTTAGTAGGATAAACATCCACATTAAATCCAAAACCAGAAGGCTTAACAATATTTATAATCAAAGTATTTTATCATGTAAATCTCCAGGGAACATGTGGAAGCCCTTCAGAGAAATTACAGGTTGTGGTAAGCATAGTACTTGTGCCCCCTCTATTGATGTAAATACTCTTAATAGATCTTTTATCCGCCTTCCCAATATACCTTTTAGCTTCAATGGAACAAATGACATGACCAGCGACTTTCATAGTGTTAAAATTTCAGATGTTCTTAAATGTTTAAAATCCCTTAAACTTTCTCGAAGTCTAGGCCCTGATGGTATACCTGCCATTGTCCTAATGAAATGTGCTCACATTTTAAGTAACTCACAAACATTTTCAACACTTCTTTTTCTAATAATGTTGTACCTTCTCTGTGAAAAGATATTAAAATCATCCCTGCAATTAAGTCAGGTTCTGGTAATAATGTTAAGTTTAGACCTATCGCTATTACCTCTCCTTTTTTTGAAACTAGTGGAGAAATTACTGCTACTAAAACTTGTTCCCTCCCTAAGCTTCTCAAACGATCCAAAGCAGTTTGCTTACAAAAGGGTAGAAGCACTCTGGACGCAGCTGCTGTGTTTCATCACTAAATTGTATCCTCCTTAAACAAAGGGGACAAGTATGTCCGTTGTACGTTCCTTGACTATACATCTGCTTTCGACTCTGTACCTGGAGGCCTATTGTTAAACAAGCTTAGCTTTACACAAACTGAGTCCTGGGCTATCAACTGGCTACACTCTTACTTCTCTAATAGGATGCAGTACACAGTATATAATGGTGTATCTTCCTCTCCTTTGCTTACTGAAGCTGGAGTTCCTCAGGGTGCTGTTCTCTCTCCGTTTCTCTTTTCCTTCTTCTCACATGACTTACCTCTTTCAGACAAAATCAACTTCGTCAAATATGCAGATGAACTGACTGTTTCGCTTCCCGTTACGTCTCAGCCAGACTGTTTCAAATTAACTAGCTTCCTGTCGGACATCAGTCAGTGGTCTAAACTAAATGGTCTCATGCTGAATCCCTCGAAATGCCAAACTATTGACTTCTCCTTTAGGCATAAACGAGATCTACAAACACTAGTAAGTAATTATGAAGGCTGTTGCACTGAGTTGAATAAAATTGAAGCTAAGTCTAATGCGAAATACTTCGGTCTAATTCTATCTTCCGACCTTACTTGGACATCTCATATCCTAACTATTGCTGAGAAAGTGTTCAGTCTAACCTACTATATTAATAAACTAAAACAATCTGGAACCACCCAACCTCTACTTTCACAATTTGCCAATTCTTGTATCTTACCTATTCTACTTTACTGCTCCCCGTTGGTCTCTCCAAGGCTACTGAAAATGGACCACACCATCCTGAGAAGGATGTTGAAGGTAGCTAGTAGGACCAGTGGTGTAAAAGTCAGTCAGCTCGTCACTACATTAGTTGAAAGGCATCTGAATACATGCGACAAACGGTCAAAAACCATACTCTCCGACCCCCGACACCCACTCTATTCCGAAACCTCGGCTTGTATCTCATCAAGTAGAACCAGAAATCAGTATGAAATAATCTATGCTCGTACAACCAAGTACAGGAACTCAACGATATCATACTTGTCCCGTGTTCTAAGTGACAGAGACAATGTTAAGCGCGAAACCTATGACTTGCTTTGTTGTTAATAACATAAATTTAGGCTCTTTTATTTCTCTCTTATTTTGTATTCTATAGTGAACTCCTTGTTAAACACAATTAGCTACCTAAATTATCAACATTGGCTTACTTTTTGTACTTTACACTATTCCTTCTTTTGTGTATCTACTGGTTCCGACTATATTAGCACAATGAGTATTACAAAATTTTCCTTTCATTAACCGTCATGTAATTATTAGTTTTGTGGTTGTTTTTTCTTATTTTTTCTTTTTTTCGGTAATATTAACTGACAATCTTGGTTGTGAACGGCATTACCACCATCTCAAAATTTTGTATTATGCAGGACTACTCACACCACTACTACAAACACCGCATTAGATCTGACAATAGAAAACAAAACAACAACCCTGAAATGTTATTTTATGATTGTTTAGTGTTGTTTCAACCAAATTAACTGATCTTCTTGGCGATAAACATTCGTAAACATCATTTCATCACTTCTTGTATGACTACAGCTTTACTGTCAACATGCATAATCATATCATAGCTTCCACTACCCAATACTGAGATATTATTATATTCTCTTTTTTTTCCTTTCTACTTCTTGGTATTTTTTCGCATTTTTATAATTATTTTTGTGTATTTTGTGCTGTTTTTTGCTGTTGTTGTCCTTATATTTATTTTTTTGAAATACTCCTTTTAAACGTTGGATAAACTTTGATGCAAATATTGTATATATGTGCTGAAAATTCCACACTGTACCACTTGTACTGTTTCTGGAATAAAGCAAATTATTATTATTATTTCAGAGAATAGGTGTATGATATTTTTTTAATAAAGTGAGGGACATTCGATTTAATATATTGGTTAGTTAGATAAGCCAACGTGGTGTGTGGTAATCATGTGATTTCAAGCAGAGTTTCATATCATTTTTAGGCTGGAGAGAAACATTCGTTTGTATATTTGAACACTAAATTATGTGTGAAGGGCTATGCATTATTTGCCTTCCTGTTTGTAATGTGATCAACTATACTTGTTTACCTGATGAGCAGAGTTCATTCACGCTTATCTTCTTCTTGAAAAATCAAGCTTATCTGTTTTGCACTCCGTTTTGCTCATATTGACTTGGGTAAATAAAAAGATAAGAATATATTATAAATACATTGAAATCAACATTCACCTTATAACTCCGCGCAGATGAAATCAGGTAAATTTATTATTATTATTAGGTAAATATTTATAGCTTTCTGTGTTCTTCATGAATTTGAGTTCTCTGCCGGATAAACATGTTCTCTTCATACTTTAGGGTTAACTTGTTTCTTTTTTCCACTCGGCAATTAACACCCATTTGTCTCTGAGCGCTTTTTCTCAATGACACGACACCTAATTCTCCAGAGGAAATATAAATTCCATCGCCTCTCACTGGAAAATATGATCCTATTCTCATATTGAAATTATATATGTAGTCATACATTTTAGATTATACGAAACATTTCAGTGACCCGCTCAGTGATGTATATATGTACAGCTATATGGCTAGTATTGAGTTTGTTTGCTAACCGTACTAGAATCGCTGCTCACTCGATGACAGCAGAGCAGGTAGTATTGAATTCGTCTTCATATAACTAGTGGATTGCATTTACAGTTTCTTCTGTAAAAATTACGTTTATCTGCCTTAGTTTCACACTGACACACCGAAATATACTGTCATACATATTCTATATAACTGTCATGTTACAATTTATACATTTTAACAGAATTATCAAAGAAGATGGGTGATAAGAAAGCTGCAGTGAATCCTCGTTTAATAAGTCGTGAATTTGAAGTGCTGGACGAATTCCAGAAGAAGGTGAGTCTACTATCCAGTGATGAATATAACTACTTATTGTAGGTTTTAGGTTGTCTTGCTGCGATATGCGCTATCACACTAGCCATAACACCTGCTCTGGCGTTCATGTATGTCAACATACACATATAATTAATTAATTATCTTTCAGACCAAAAGGTCATAGACCGATTCGGATAGCGGCTACAATAATTTTTGTCGTGCTGTGAGTTCATTACACAGATAATGAAATTGAGTTGATTAAATTGCATTAAACTCTCTCTCTCTATATATATATATCATTATAAACTGGTCACTTTCAGTTCGACATTTTATATTTTACTATCAGAATGGTCTTCTAGTTTTTGTTTCATCTCATATTCATACCTGATATACGGCAGTGACATCATAAGTTGTCTTCCAACATTATACATCAAGAAGAATATTACGTCAGGTTTACAGAAAATAAAAGTGAGGTTTGCAGCTGTTCAGTGGATAGGAAACCGCATACATTCATATCAAAAATCAAAATAAAACGAATCAGTTGAACCATTGTCGGTGTGACTCAGTGCAGTATGCTGTAGCGTTTTGTACAAGTTGTAATGAAGCATTCCGACAAAACATGATGTAAGCTGTGACGTGGACGGTTTCAATCAAGATATCGGCTATCTAAGTGCAAGTGGAGAATCCTCTCTTCAACCGCCATTATAAAATGAGAGACAGTAATGATTTCGTCTTCACATTTTAGACGTTTTAGGGTAAGATATGCATATCCGTAGCATACTGACTGATTAAACTTATCAAATTTCTCATACTACACATTTTCGTTAAATGAAACACTGCTGAGAAATGATTCTTTATGCGTACTCCACTTCAAATGTCTGATGGAATCAAAGCTACTGTTGAACTGCACTTAACCGAATAGCGTGCTACGCTCTTCTTCAAGATCCAGAAAAGAATACCTAATGGTGACTGCCATCTTATATGTCGTAATCTGCGTTCATCAGACAACTAATTAAATTGAGTTCAATAAATTTTATTGAATGTTGGGATGTGTGTTATGCATTGACCATATTACACTAGGCTACATACTTGATATTTCCTTATTACAGTCATTTTCTAATTTTCGTCTCAACACATAATCCTGTTTGATTTTCGATAGCAACGTTATAAGTCACTTTCGAGCATCCTACATGAGAGTGGAATATTACTTCAGATTGTTATTGAAGGCATAATTGACATATACCAGTCTTTTCTCGACACATATCAAAATGTTTTCAAAACACACCATCTACTTACCTATTTCATTTCCACAGGTTTACTAAAGCCGAGAGTATCACGTCTCACAATAATTCGAATAGCTAGAACTTCCATTTTACGTATGACTCAGTGCATTATGTTGTAGTGTTTTGTGCAAATGCTGAACATGCAATTTGATAGGATAGAGTGTAGAGTGTGATCCGAAACGAAAATTTAAGTCGAGTCAACTACAAGAACACTTGTGATATCACCCCTATTTTCTTATATATTAAAAAGTTTCCACATAAATCACCAAATTTCCAGAGGCTAATAAACACAGTGAAAAGAAGAGAATGATTATGTCTAACCTCAGTTATAAAATGAATAGTGATAACGATTCTGTTTTCATTATTTAAGCAATTCAGTGTGGGGTTTATATTTTCGTAATCGTGCATAATTTTTTACAATTCACGATATATATATATCATTTATTTCTCTTGCATTTTAGGTGGATTGTTGAAATGGCGGTAATTTTTTTGCTATTCGCATCAGACTCAATAAGGAAACGTTTTCCTGTGAATTTGTTGTTGACGATGTTACATGTGAGAAGCCGATGTCTTTATCATTTCTGAGTATTTAATACGAATTAAAGAGATTAGGTAACACACGATGCTTTTAATTTCCCGGTCGAAACGTATTCATGTATTCATATATTAAAGCTGAAACAGTTTGTAGGAATGCATGTTGAGTAAATAGGTTTAGTTCAGAAGTACTGTAGAATATTTCATCAGGCACGACTGAAGTCCCTATTGCTAATGAAATATCCAATGTTTATGGGACATATAAAAGAAGCAGATACTTGATATAGTGGTTCCTATGCTTACGAAGTTAATAGTCTTATGATATTTATAATGCAGGTATAACATATTTCATATTTCCTGGTTAGATATACATACCTATATAATGTATTCAAATCACTTGGATTGGACACTAGTAACTAGTGTCTAGTGCCCGAACAGCTCATTGGTAATGTCCATTTGAATCTCAAAATGGAAATGAGTCCCTTCAAGGTTGCAGATACGCCGTGCTGATGAGTGCCAACTAGCACGAAACCTAGGTCAAGCAAGGCTTCCTGCCGATTGCCTCCAGCTATCTAGTATACAAATCATGTTATATTAGGTAATATTCATATAAGCAATGCCTTTTAACAGTGAACTGCGTCTACGGAAACTTTCAGTTTGATAAAATATTACAAACTATCACTTCACTGAGGTGATGACCTTTCTGAATACTACTGACTACCTATTACTGCTCCCTATGCATTTGTGTAGAATCACCCTCTAGCCTATTCACCTACACAGTGAAATTATGTTCATGAGACTATTGTAACATTTGTTTATTAAAACACAATTTTTGTATTCGGTTCACTCCTTTTTTGTAGTCCGCTTGCGTCACCGTAATAACAGAAGTCCCATTGGCTGGGAGAGACTACAGATGGGTATTGGGTGCGATGGCGATAGCTGTGGTTCTCTTCATCATATGCATATCGATAGGTGCAACGTTGAAAAGTCAACTGAATTTGGGCACCCCAGCAATGGTGATAGGCTACATTGTCTTCTCAGTCATAATCGGCATTGTTACACTTGCGGTTTACTTTGGGACCAGATACGTAAGTGGAAATAATTATTTTTATCTTTACATGAGATAGACTATGTGACTAAATTATTTATGATTCAAGCATAGAAATATACCATTACTTTGTCAATTGAGTGACTAGTGTGACTGAGTCACTAATGTGAACTAAACAGGTGTAAAGCGTTATTTTGAACAATTATTCAGTGTCGCATGTTTCATATTTTACAAAGAAATGTATTCATGTGTTATCCTGACTGAATATACGTTTATTGTTAACTAAATGCATCTACCAATAATCTTTTCTGTGTTATAGTACATGCAGTCACTGATGATTACGGCAGGAGGTATGACAATTTTAGTAATCCCTGTAAGTTTTCATTTTCGATGTTCATTTCTGTTAATTAAAGTTGCTTTATCAAAGCTGAGGATCACATAACCACTCAGTGTCTTATTCAGACTCCACTTACGATTGACAGTAAGCAACTTCTAGTGAAAAACACGCAACTGATTTTGCCAAATTTCACACTACAATCATTAGTATTATTATCCCCTCAGGTTACAAATGGAACTTAGGATTTCCGCACATACCGCTGTTTCAATCTGTTTTCTGAAGTTATTTGTGATTGGCTCCAAGACTGCCTAGAAGCTTTCATCATCTCCTTACAAGATCTCACCCGTGTCACTTTTCGAGGCACACCCAACACGTTGATTTATGAATTCGGGCTTCACTTGAAGGACTCTGTTGTACACTGTATCACTGAGCAGTCTCAACATCATATCACATATCCAATTCATCCCTTTTTCCTTCTGCATATTTGCCATGAAGTAGTCTAACAGCTGGTTCTTCACTTACCGTCAAATCTGCAATATGCAGTTAGAGGCGATAGCTGTTGGTAAGTCTGTAGCTTCTTGGAAATCCTATTCAGGAGGGCATAACAATCTGCAACATATAGAACCACTGATTTTGCATTACTGTTGAAGATCCCGATCTTCGTAATTATGTTCATCACATATGTGACAACGTCCAGTCACTTGGGTGAATGAAATTATTGAAAAGGATATTCACTGGTCAATTATTTTGTGTTTTATAGATGCCTGAATGAATGATTTTGCTATATTCATTGTATGTGTTAAATTTTATCAATACACTGAAATTCTTCAAAATATTACCGCTCATAATTTCCCTTATCTTCCATGTTTATCAGATGGCCTTATATGCCGGTCAGTCAACAATTGGCTCAAAAGAATTCAGAGAGTATGGTGAAGATTACTGTTCAGCTGCAATGGTTTTACATGCCGCTCTTGTCATCTTTCTGGTTACACTCAGCCTTGGAGTTATAGATGTACCGAAGAAAAGAGAGATTATGTTAGGAGGACTGATTGAACCAATTTCGTGGTTTTCAGTATAAAAGCATTACAGTATGAAAGTGTGCATTTTATAACCAACTGTCTACAACCACAGTTCATACTGTTGTGTTCATGATTTGTAATCCAAATAAATAAATAAATTCACTTTTTACACACAAGGTGTATAATTCTGAAATATCACTGTTATTTTCCAGATGTGTGATTTGCAGTACCATGAAAAGGTTGTTCTGACCGACACTATCAGTTACAGTGGTGCATTTCATACTGAATTCCATATTTTCATATGGAATGTCAACCATCAATGATTGATCAGGCTCATGTTTGCGGAGGCATCACTGTTATGAACGAAAATGCAACTCCAAAGATTTTGACACTGATGCGTTTAAGATTACAGCAGTGTCTGTTTCCTTTGAATACTAAGTAACTGCTGTTCCGAAAGTATCTGATGAATGTCTTACAGTAGTTTGCAAGGATATCTTTGATGCAGGTGCTCTGCATAGGACGTATTGCTGTGAATCAACCTCAGGAATCGCTGACTGACATCACTGACTGATTTTAAAAACTAGCACGTATGAATCATCTGAAATCAAACTGTATTCCGTAGGATGCATATTTGAACCTTCAGTGATAGCAGAGAGCTGCGTCTAGTATACTTTCCATCATTCAGTGGGATAAAGAAATATTTCTTATGCATCAATGTTGACCAACAAAAGTCCTTTTGAGGACTCGAGTGATTACTCACGGCTACCCATTCAATTACGTGATTTAGTTGTTCATCTTTTCAAATTATTGAAAAAGCATTTATCCCCTACAGACTTTGAAAATCTATAAGTGAATGAATATTGCCAATTTTTATGTTAGTCACTTGCCTGATATAAGTAAATATGGAACTGAAGTGCCCTTGTGCAAATGTGATGTGGATACAACGACGGGATGAATATAGTCTAAGCTATTTCATCTTTAAGAGATAATATCCCCAAGTATAGTATGGATCATCGTTCGTTTCAGATTTTATATGACTTGATCCAACCAGTTGGACATACTGCTGGACAATTTCGATTTCATTTTGATCAGTCTCAGGTTTTATTCTAATATGCGCTGATGCAAAACTGAATCACCGCTGGCGATTTGCAGGTCAATGAAATGCGTCAATAAAAATGGCTGCAATCAGCGAGAGAATATGTTCATGGTTATATTTACTATGACAAAGCTGTAAGTAGTTAACACAGGTGACCATGAATGGGATGAAAATGGTATACTACAATGTGGAAATATCAATAATCGACTGATATCGAAATCTTAGAAGAAACAACGTGGTAGCGTAATACTTATTTAAGATTCAGAAATTCAACAGTCAGTGGCTTAGTGAATGTAAAACGAACTTAGGAAAGAGATGAAATGCTTCGACAGTGGATTTGTTCATTAGGTCCTTAGTGATCATGAGGGTGGGCGAGAGAGAGATGACAAGAGAGCAAATGACTTTGGAACACAAACACTAGGACTATTTTGTTAGTTTCTGCAGATTCGGTTTTCCGAAATGGGAGAAGTCGAAGCATCATATTGAAGACTGTTAGATGAGGTGAACAACATTCCAGTCAGCATATTTGGTATTCAGCAATTTCTTAAGGGTTAATCTTACACGTCGTTCACTATTCAGTCTGCCTGACATGTAAATTATTACAAGACATATAAGCGAACAATGAATACTATTTTCAACTAGATCTTCACTCAATCTTTACTGAAATGTACATGACCTGATGGCGAAAAATTCTGTCCAGCCAATGAAGGTGAACTTGTGAATCACGATGTGAGTGGCAAACATAGCGATATGTTAGCAGTAACGAGGATGGTAACATTAATAGCAATAAGGATGGCAATAGAGAATTTAATGCTAACAAAATAACAAGCACTGGACGAAGATGCCAATAAGAATACTCAAGATACTATAAATGATGATGGAATAAATTCCATAACTACAATTATTTATTATTGTTTCCTTTAGTTCCCAAAGGAACATAGGGCTTCAGCCGCACGTCTCCATTGCGTTCGGTTCTCCGTCAATCTTTTCACCTGGTTCCACGTCTGCCTACATGCATTCATTTCCTCTCTACATGAGCTCTTCCATGTCACCCTCGTACTGACGATCAACTCGCTGCTTCTCATTCGGTGGGGTTCCACTCGAGCGATGGCCTGGCGTGTGGTGTCACTCACTTGCTGCTTTTCTCAGATTATGGCAAATCCACCTCCATTTCTTCCCGCATATTTGTTCCACAATTGGTTCCTCCTGGGTTGGTTCGCTTCCATGGATCCCTGTTGCTAATCATTTCTGGCCAGACATCTGATCTTGAGCGGAGACAGCTGATGATGAAGGTGTGGAATTTGATCGAAGTGCTCTTCACGACACTCCAAGTCTCTGATCCATAAAATAGCACTGAAGTCACATTTGAGTTGAAAATCCGGATCTTATTTTGCATGCTGAGTACTGTTGACCTCCACACAGACTTCAGAGAAATGAAAGCTCACCTTGCATTCCCGATCCTTGCTTTGAAATCCTCTTCAGTTCCACCCGCCTTTAGTTCAAACTATGCTTCCCATGTAACCAGACAGGCAGGTGAACGACGTTGCTTCTTTCAGATTTCTCCCATTTATACCAACTGATTCCTGCCTGTTGTTGGTGCTGTGTTTGGTGGCCAGGAATCTTCATCACCTCTGTTTTCTCTATGTTCACCTTAAGTCATATCCTTCTTTAATGTTTCTTCTACCAACTTGTTGCTTTTCACTTGCATATCTTCAACTTTGTGTGAAGCCAAACATATATCATCGGTGAAGTCCAGATCCTCCAAGTTTTTTGTGTGGGTCCATTTTATGCCTGTTTCCTCATTGCCCGCTGTCTGTCGCATTATCAAATTTACTGCAGTGAGGAAAATCATTGGAGATAGTAGGCAGCCAGCCTTGTATTACTCCCGCCTTCACTTCGAAGGATTCAGTGAGTTTCCCATTGTGGATTACTTGGCATGCAACATTGTCATACAACTGTTGAATGAGATGTATAATTGTTGGCGGCACCCCGTAGTAGCGAAGTAGTTGCCAAATCACCTCTCGATCGATAGTGTCGAAGTTGAGATAGAGAGGTGACTGCCATTCCAAACTCTGTTCAATGATGATCCGTAGTGTGGCGATTTGATCAATACATGACTTGTTTCTCCTGAATCCAGCCTGTTCCGGTCGAAGATTTCCATCCAGGGTGGCGTGTTTAATTCGCTCCAGAATGATGTGACTCAGTATTTTGCTTAGGATGGACAGGAGCATAATCCCGCGCCAGTTCTTGCATTGACCTAAGTCCCCTTTTTTTGGCATTTTGAATAAGTAGCCTTTCTTACAATCTGCAGGTACTTTGCCTTCTTTTCACATTTTCTCCAGTAGTGGTATAATCAAGTCCACTGATGTCTCTGGGTGCATTTTCAATGCCTCTGTTGGTATTCCGTCATGTCTCGCTGCTTTTCCAGTTTTAGCATCTCGATTGCCTTTACAATTTCTGTTTTCGTAGTAGGGTTGATGTCCACTGAGGGTTCTGCTTCCGCTGTTAGTGTTATTGAGCGCGTTGTAAGTGGCAGTTGATTCAGAAGTCTTCTTAAGTGTCTAGCCCAGTGTGTCCTATCCTCCACCTCTTTGATGATTGACTTCCCATTGGCTTAATTTGTGTTGAACTTTTCCACGATAGGGACCTAGTTGTTTGTTGGAGTGTTGCGAGGTCTCCTTTGCCTGCAGCTTGTCCTATGTCTCTTGCCATAGCTTCATTATATTTTCTTTTGTCATCCATGGTACTCTTACTTACCATTTTTCAGTGTATTGTAGCTTGCATTCAACTCCTGTTTTTGCTGTTTGTCGATGCACTGTTTGATCTTTTGTTTCAACATCCTTCTCTCTTCTATTTGTCTCCATGTGTCCATAGTGATCCACTGTTTGTCCTGTCTACTCTTTCTGCCTAGAACTTCCATG